CCCTAACTGCCCACCCCCCTCTGCCAGCCTGGTCGACCCTTACTGCCCCCCCTGCTGGCCTTATCACTCCACTCAGCTTGTTCGGTTGTCTGTTCGGTTGTTTCGGATGTGATGCCCCCTGGCTCATTATATGTATAGATTGTACACTTATGGGAAGAAAAAACCTGCCACTATTATACTAAAACATGGTATTCTGTATTTTAAGTGTTTTCCATACTTCCATTTTTCTGTATCAAATTTTTAATATGTCAATCATCTTTCCCTTTTAAAAAATGTTTTAGTTTAGCTGTATAGTGTCCAAAAATTAAATATTTGTAAAGTGCTCATTCACAAAGAGCATTGAGTAAGATTGAGAGGGAAGAGGGACACCTAAAAAATAAGTGCGCTTTAAAAATATGTTTTAATATACTTTATTTAGTATATACCGGTATATGAAACATTATATGTCCAGCACTGTTCTGAGTACTTTGAGGAGCATACATGTATGCATAAAAGCACACACACATATGCAGAATAAAGTAAATTAATCCACATGAAACAACTCAAGAACAAAAGGTTATTAATTTGGAAATAAAATTTTTTAGATGTAAAACAGATTAGGGATTGCCCAGGGTTAGGGACAAAAGGGAAGTGGGTATGGTTATAAAAGGGCAACACAGGGAGGCATCCTGGTGGCAATGAAAGACTTTTGTATCTTGACTATTGTGATGGATACACACAGAAAAAACTGCACACCACACACAGAAGCACACAATAAGTATAAGTCAAACTGGGGAAACCTGAATTAAATTAATGAATTACCAATGTCAACTCCTGGTTGTGATATCATATAACAATTTTCAGGTATATGGGATCTTGTATTATTTCTTACAACTACATGTGAGAAATATACAATTATCCCTAAATAAAAAGTTTTAGAAATTATTATAAAACTAGAGGCCCGGTGCACAAAAATTTGTGCACTCGGGGGGAAGGGGGCGTCCCTCAGCCCGGCCTGTGCGCCCTCGCAGTCAGGGACCCTTTGGGAGATGATGACCTGCTGGCTTAGGCCTGCTCCCGGGTGGCAGAGGGCAGGCCCAATCCCTAGGTGCAGC